AGGCTCACGTAAGTGAGAACGAGTTCACTTTAACGGGTAACATTTTTTATTAAGTGTTACAGAAGTGCAAGAGAGTGATAAAAGCAATACTAGCCTTTAAGCTATACGCTATATCCTTAAGTATCGATATAGCTATTGTTATATCGACTACTTTTGCTTAAATCATAGCTTAGTTAAGAATCCTTAATTTCCTTATAGTAATGTGCACTGACTCTTACTCGCTTTACGAGTGCATAATAAAACTAAGAACTACTAAAGAAAAGCGCTTTATGATCGATATTATAGCTATTCGAGAGTCATACGAAAAGCGAGAGCTCTTTAAGGTACGCTAGATCGAAGGAAAATCCAACCCTGCTAACGCTATAACTAAAATCAAAGCTAATACCTCTTTGCAAGAGCTAGTTTTGACTAATACTTTAAAGGTGCAAGTAGACGGATAAGTGGAAAGGCCGCTGTAAAAGAAAAGAGAGTGAGGTTTAATAAAGTGAGATTGATTTTCCTTTGTTTAATTACCTTTTTCTTTTTCGGTCGATATAGTAGTTAGCAAAGCACTGCTTGCCAAAGAAAGAGTTGCCGGTGTCGGTATCTTTATATCGACCTTAGCTAGCTAGTAGTAGTAGTAGTAGTAGTTAAGGAAGCTCACCCGTGAATCATGGTTCACGGGCTACTTAGCATGCTTCGCTTAGCATGCCAACAGTCAAAGGACCCTCCCAACTTGACAAGTAAACCTATTAGTTAGCTAGTGCACGTGATTCCTTTTAATCATATAAAAAGAATCAGCTCCCTTGAGTCTTAAGAAGCAGACAGAATTCAGATACCTTATCAACCGAGTGTTTTGCAATTGCAAGTACTTTGACGACCTTACGAAGTTACGAATATATTCTTAATCGCTTAGAAGCAATCCAACAGCTTAGAATAACGGAGAACTTATGATGCAATAAGCTAAGGAAGAGTTTATTCCTAGTACTAAACCTATTGTTAAAAAGCTAGTTTTCTTAACTATAGATACTGTAAGCTTTTATAAATCGCTAAAGCTTCTCTAACTTCTTCGCGAGGCACACGTTCTCGTATCGTTAATACTACTTGGAACTACCGGACTTCTACAACCTTGCGACACCGCTCTTAATAAAATCTTTAAAGAGATTATCGCAATACTAGCGGAGATCTATGTTGAAGAGAAAGAAAAACAGCCCGGTTTTAAATGGACTGTATCCGAAAAGAGAATTCAAATGACTTAGAATGCCGAAGAAGCTTAAAACCTCGTTTGTATAACGAAATCAAAGCTAATCGCGAAGTCCTTTCGAGATATAAGCATTTATCTTCTAACCGATAGATCTGAGGATTATAAAATTGCGATCAAAGGATACCTTCATAGCTCTTTAGAAGTAAGAGATTATTAAAATCTAGATGAAAAAGTTGGACAATATCAATTAGCGCACGAAAAGATACTCGAAATCGGCGATAACGGTCAATATATCATGCAAGATAGTATGCTTTTACGAACGTATACTTAGTTAACGAACGATCAACTTAAAAATGCGTTAAGATTGCGAAGCTTAACTGGAATCTCTAGAAACAAAGCTACTTTAATCAAAGTATTAAAAACAGACGATATAGTCGCTAAACTAAGTTGCGACGAATAGCAACTTTAAAGTTATTTGCACGAGCAGGTTGCTTTATCGAGTATATTAATAAGAACTAAAGCGACTTAGTTAGTTCAAAGGTATAAATGGAAAGCAATAGCAACGGATATAAACGAATAGGATGCAAACGAGCATTACGAAAGCGATAAATAACTAGCATTTAGACTAGATATCAATGCAAGCTAATCACTTAAGCGTCTCAGCTTGTTTTCCTTCTTCTTTTACTCTTAACCATATAGCTTTCCTTCGTTGCTATTCTCTTGACCTTTGAAAGCTATCAATCCCTTTCTATCGTTGACTTATAAAGATAAGTTCGCAAGTCAAGATCCAACCACTTTGTATAAGCCCTTTTAAATAATCGCGATCTCTTGTAGGAATTGCAACCCAGCTTTTATAGCCTCTGTATTGATCAATAATAGCAACTCCGACAGGTTGGCGTATATCGTTAGGTTATTGAATTTGCAAAGAGTATATAGGTGAGGGGTATAGATCGAAGAGTTCGGAATCGCCGTTACGATCGCAAGAAACATTTAAAAAAAATTAATCGTAATTTTTTATTTAAGCTTGCTTAATTATACAATACTTACGAACAATGCTGCATTCTCCGTTAAGATTTTCTTGCTCTATAATTGACTGAAAATAAGTAGTATTTATAACAAAAGTACTAGTATAATCGCGAAGAAAGCAATTCAATAGAAAGAACGCATGTCGTTCTACTCGGAGCGGCGTAACTATTGATCCCCTTTATTTGCCAAGTACGCTAAACGGCTAGCGTTCCATCTCTCTCCTGAATTACTACGGTACTTCCAATTAAAAAGGAAAGCAAGCTACCTCTATAGCTAGCTGAGGTACGAAGAGAACTGCAAATAGAGCGCCACATAGTCTGACCTTAGTAGGTCGTTTGCATGGCACCATATGGCCTAACAGCCACGCTCGCCTAGCTCTATTGGCTGTCAGATATCTCGCAATTCCAAGTCACAAAGGTTACCAAAGTTACTGAAGTTTTAGAAGGTTCCAACAATACTTGCCCTCTCAAGTACCCAGATCGAGAAAGGGCTTCCTCTTCAATGGATCAAAGCAGATCCGCCCTCCGAGCTGAATATACCTACCTGTCGAACCTCACTTTTGTCGCACCATCCTTACGGGAACTAGGACATCTTAGCAAATAATCGAGGGCCTTTCGTGTACTGCATTGAAGAATCCGACAATGCTTGGGTTGAGGATCGCTTCAAACATATAGTTCACGACCCTACCAGCGCCGTTGACGAAAGCCAGGCGTACGGGTCCGAAAAGCAGAGGCATATATTGATTGGACAATCCAAAAGGCCCACCCCCCTTTCCCTTGCTTTGGATCCAAACGTAGCTCCATATTTCCCAGTCGGCTCTGAGACTTATAGAAAAGTCTCTGTATCTGTATCTAAATTATATTTAGCGTTCTTTCCGGAGAATACTGGCGCTGTCACCAATAAAGAGTCCTTGCAAGAACACCAAAGTCGAGGAATACTGAAACTATTCAAACCACTTCAAACCACTTCAAACTACTTCACACGACTCGATCAAAAGACTCGATCAATTATGCCACTTCTATTATTTGATGCAGCTAGCTTACTTACGAATCGATTGCGATGCTCGGGTTGTAAATCCTACCGATAGATTACGGACTTTCTTATACGAGGTAACGAGTACCGAAATACAACTTCTGATATTTACAAAAACCGAAAACCCGACAAGTGTCAAAAGAAGATAGAAAGCGAGTTTACTTAAGAGCGACATGATTCACGTTTATAACGAGAAAAGAAAGCTAAGCCACGAATTTGAACAGCGAAAGATCAAGTAAGATGGGAAGCGGATCGCAAGGAAAATGAGCAATAGAAGTGGTTATTAGATGATACCGGGAAGTGAAATCGAAAGGGAATACGATAGGGGCTTGAACAAGCTCGATACGAGGATGAGGCCGAGGCTGATATCTATACGAACGATCTCGACGAGTAGCCGCTATAGCCGCTACTAATGTTTTCGGACGACACGGACGGTACGGACGACACGAACAACGATGATCGTGTTCATCGTCAGGAGAAGGCGGGAAAGCTTCCATAAGCATCAGCTGAATCCAAACCTTACGAACCGACTACGGCATCGATGACGAAATCGGTTACGGAATCGGTTGCAGGTTATACGGACGAATACGAAAGCTTATCAAGTGACGATAGAACTCGCTTAATTGAGTTGCATTCAAAACCGCGACTCTCTCGGTCGGTTTTTATGCTTCCTCGATATATCAGAAACGCAGAACACTTTCAATCCAGGTTTTCGAAATACAAGTATTCGTTCCAATATGCAAGCTCTAGAAGCGAAACCTTCACGATTACGACCGACGAGGGCTATTGCGGAAATGGAATGAAATTGCGGGCGAGCAAGGGTAGAAAGAAAAGCGTCAAATTGAGTTGAGTAAAAAAGTCAAATTCCCGAAAGCTGCTCGAGGGCGACCTTTAGCTACTTATAAAAGATTATTTATCAAAATAAAAGGGGTTTACACTCCATCATTTGACCGTGAAGTTCGGAAAACTTGGTAGTCCCTCGTGGCTTGCGGAGGGCCGTAAGCTTTAGTTGCGGCTGGGCTAGAGCGTTTAAATTTTTTGACGTAAGTTTAGAGTGCATATCTTAAAGAAAAGTCAAGCAGCGTTAAAGTCAAAAGTCTCTGAAGGCAGCAATTACACGCGACCGTTGCGAAGCGAGGTCACCTGGCCACTGAGCTTGCGGAGGGCTGCCAGGGAACAGACCTCGTCTGCTGTTTCAAAACACGGGGGTGGGAAGAGCGATATGCGGGTCAGATTTCAGCGTAAACACCAGCGAAATACTACGTACTACGTACATCACCTATCTCAAACCATGACTTCTGAGCACGGTCTGCCCTCTGATGGTCATGGCCATCTTGCGTGCGATACTGCAGCTATCCTATTACTTGCGCTATAATGAAATGTCTTTCTGCTAGGATCATCACGGAGCAGAACGGCGTTCATGACGCCGTCGAGGCGTCCCGGTGGGACTTCCTCCACCTTCTCTCCGAGTTCTAAGCAGCCAAATCCCACGGTGTGACTTTATAGGCCGTGCAAACAGCCAACCTGTGCGTAGGTTCGGCGAAGATATGGGTCCATGAGGATGGTGGTTCCTAGTAATAGAACAGTACCGAGATGCTGCGAGGCTTAATTTATCCTTTCTAGAGAAGACCCAGCACCAGATGTCTCCTCTTCTCCCGAAGTAAGTGTGTACATAAAGGTAAGGCTCCGTCTTCCATTTCTCTGGTGGTCAGCCACCCTCTTCTCAGCAGTTCTTCTGTCCCCTCCCCTCTGCATCAACATGCATCTTCCTTCTCTCCTCCTCTTTACCGCGTCCGTGGCTGCAAACCCTCTCGCAAGCCGGCAGGTGTCCGGAACTTCTGTAGTTGATTTAGGTGACAACACCGGAACACCAGCCCATCTAGCAAGTGGCATCCTCTACGGTATCCCGGATACCCCAGACCAAATTCCGGATCACTTCTATACAGACATTGGCTTCAACTACGCCAGAGCCGGAGGAGCCCAAATTGGTTCCGGTGGCCGTGGCTGGATCTGGGGCTTGTCAGAGTACAAGGTTAGTACTGTATGAATTTCCTAGCTCTTTACTGATAAGTTCAGGGTCGCTTCGAATCGGCGTTATCCAACTACAAGACTGCACGAAAATATAATGCGCCATTCATCTTCCTCATCCACGATCTTTGGGGTGCCGATGGAACACAAAACTCCTCAGCTGAATATCCCGGAGATAATGAAGACTGGAGTTCATGGGATGAGTATCTCACGCAGGTTATCTCTGATGTCAAGGCCAATGCAATGACGGCTGGACTTTCCATCGATATCTGGAACGAGCCTGATCTCCACTTCTTTTGGACTAGGGGACAAACCCAATATCTCCAGCTGTGGAGTAAGACATACCATCGTCTCAGGTTAGTATAATGTCTCTAATTTGTTGACATCGTCAGTATACCGTGATTTTAGCTAATGATGAAACCGATAGGACCGAGCTGCCTGACGTGATGTTGATAGGCCCGGCATTCTCCGGCCAGCCTGATGCAAGTAACACCTGGTGGACGAGTTATTTGAGTTTTGTCAAGAAAGATTCAAGCGTGCCAGACCAGTACGTTTGGCATATGGAAGGCGGCGGAGGCGACATGATCAGCGCGAACAAGGCTCTGCAATCCATGCTCAAAACCTATGACCTGCCCAGCAAGCCCTTGAACATTGACGAATACGCAACCTTCGACGAACAATGCCCTGCAGGCTCATCGTGGTGGATCTCGCAACTGGAGAGAGTCGATGCAATAGGCCTACGTGGAAACTGGCTCAGCGGTAATCAGCTTCACGATTTCTTGGCCTCTCTAGTCTCAAAACCGGATGCGACCTCGAACTACAGTCCCACTTCGGCCGGGTATTTCCCAAATGGCGATTTCCAGGTCTACAAGTACTACAGTCAAAAAATGACTGGACACCGGGTCGGATCTCAGCCCTCGGCCGATCTCAAGCTCGACACCTACGCGACCGTTGGAACGGACATGGTTAGAGTCCTGACCGGTGTGCGAATCAGCAAGGGAACATGGCAGATCACCATCAAGAACCTCTCGGCTGTAGGTCTACCTGCATCGGGATCGCTCAACATCCATACCTGGGGTTTCCCGTTCACTGGAGGCCATTTTGGCCAGGTAAACGCACCGGATGATTTGGGATGGTATGCGCATGATTACACCGGTGACAGCGTGACTTTCCCAGTCTATCAAACCGATACCTCTACTGCCTATGCGTTTGAGTTTCGTGTTGAGAAGTAGGTCGGGTTTGGGTACCTACTAGTCAGATAATGATCGACCAGAAGGGGAATCGGGATTCTTCGGCATGACCATGAAATGATTGACGGCCTACCTTTTTTTCAGATTAATCTCACTATAATATCCAACGATGCATACGTACCTATTGGTCTCGAATATTTCACCACCTGAACGTAATTATGCTCACTCCCCTTGAAATAGCGAACGGGCTCCCATCGGAGCGCCAAAAATTCCCCAGATCCCCAGAGCACGCGATGCACGGAGGCATGTGAAGAAACGCCCTGGGGAGTGTTCTTTTCGTACGTCGAGAAGGCTTCGATGGAATGTATGTCATCTCCTTTTTTTTCCCTGCAGGAGCAGGTCTATGTGGGGATAGGGGATCATAGCCAAGTTCGCGCCTAGAAAGGGTGCCAGGGCTGGCCTGATGTCAGTCGTCCGAAGATGGCCGGGCAAAGCATTTCACACTTCTTCTCTTGACAAGCAATCGTACCCCTGGTCGGAGTACCAAGTCAGAGGCAGGAGTGCGGTTCTTCGTACTCTTTCGTAATACGGTCATCTTTCGTAACCATTTTTTTTTTATAATATATACATTTATTACAACTTTGAATAGAAAAATTAGTTATAAAATGTAGTGTTATTCTTTAATGATGAAGCTGCTTTGAGAAAGAATTTAAGAGTTAATTGGATATTAAAACGCGATTATATTCGTATATCAACTTCGTCGGTGCCATTTAAATAGCTTCTAATCAAGTAAATAGTTAAATAATTGAGCAACTACAAGTATTACATGTAATCTTTTGAAAAAACATAATCGCTGGCTTCGAATCTATATTCCTCTTTATTTTCAATATCTTAAAGCAATAGTAGAACGATCAGTTTTTGCAAATTCGCCGTACATTAAAGTGCGCCGACCATTTTAAAAGCTTCGCATCTCTACTCAAACAGCCGCCTACTTCATTACAACCTTCGTATTTATCGGAGATTTTCTATTCCATTGATCAATCAATTTGGCTCGCCCAGTGAAAAGGCTTTTATGCTAGCGTTTTTGCGCGTATCTTTTTATACTATTCTTTATTTCTTGCAAGCCATTTGCTAGCCTATTGCGTATCAAAGCGTCTGCCGCTTTTAAAAGACGAGAAGATCGAGTTTGTTGCGTCGCGACTATTAGACTAGGTTGCTTAGTAGCCGATATATATTTTAAAAAGATAGGTATGTATTCACGCAAGCCTGCGTTTCATGCATTCGATAAAGCACTATTGTAGCCTCCTTTTGTGTTTTGTGGTTTTCGGCTATTGAATTTCGCGTTGAGTTAACGAAGAAGAACGATGAATTTGACGGCAATCGTGCTCGGTTTAAACATAAAGATTGGATTTCTTTCTATAGCTTTAGCGATTCTCTTTTCCGATTCGGCATCGAATTTAGTCATGGTGTAGTTGATCAATCGCGTATGAAAAGAAAATCCCGAAAAAGTTGACCGTATTACTGAAAAATGACCGTGTTCTTGAAGAGTACTAGGAACCGCATTCCTGCCTCTGATATGTACTCCGACCAAGGGGGTATGATTAGTGCCCAGGTTAGCCTTGGAGAATTGCTGATTCAAGATGTCAGAATTGCCGAGGCAGCGAAACATTACACGAGACGATGATTGGAGGGGGTGGAGGCCGAAAAAAGGAAGCCGCGTACCCGCTTCGGACTTCCACAGCTCGTCCCAAGGTCGGATATCAGTTTGTGCATATAACAAGTAGTACCTCATACGCATCGATACCGTTAGTAATCGCGCAGGAAGCAACATCCTTTTTTTCCTTCTTCTTCTTATTTCACGAAAGAGGGCGATAATACCAGTTATTTTTATAATCGTTTTTTTATTAGCTACTCCTGATGTTCATCCATACACGTTGCTTCATTATCCTAACATGCTACCTGGCTAGGCCGAATCCAAACAAGTCTTTGCCGAAAAAGCTGCAGCTGGGAAAGCAGCTTACGACTCGCACTTGAAAGAAGAGATTTTGTTCTCGTAGTTACCCAGATCGGGGTGGTCTCTGATGTTCTGGACGACGCCGTTCCAGTAGAAGGAACCAGACTGGCGAGGGCAGTAACGGTCACTTTTCTGTCAGCTTTTTGTTTGCGCCTAAGGGGGGGGGGGAGGGAAGTACTTACACGAAGAAGGTGCACTGCTTGTTGTAGGTGTTGAGCGAGGAGACGACATCGTGAAAGTCGTTAGGGATCTCCGCTGTTGCATTGATAAGCTTCGGTTCAAACCAATCATCAACGATTGGGGGTTGCGGATGGGGGAAATCTTACTGCAGACTTGAGGCGTGTATTGCATTTCACGGCACTGGTTCCAGTTGAAGTCGTTGCAGAGCTTGATGGTGGAGGTTGGCTGGATGACTTTGCCGGGGGCTGGGGCTGCTGTTACGACGGAGGCTGCGAGAGCGGCGGCGGCGACGATGGTGTTGGTGAACATCATATTGACGGATGAGTAGCAAATAAGTTGAATTAAGAGGTAAGAGGGTGTAGTAACGACTGAATGCTTCGACTGAAGACGAGTGAGTAGGAAAAGAGAGTAAAGAGTGGATGCTGCTAAAGAAGAGCGGATGAGGAGGAGAAAACGAATTCTGGGGATTCTGGAAAGGTATATATACTTTTTTTCTATCGGTCTACGGTGTTCTCGTGTGGCCAGCGAGTATGTTCCCATTGTCGCAAATCATTCCAAACATAGAGTCAAATTTACCAAATTTGGGGTAGCCAACCATACAAAGCCTTGCAACTCGTTTCACCATTTTTCCGTAAAAAGATCAGCGCAGGGGAACGTAGTCGTACTTACTACGTAGCCGCACGAGTAGCAATATTACTGTGTAGATTACGTGACCTACTCCGTAGGTACCACGGTACAAGCCTAAGTATTACACCTCGAGGGTGCCTCAAAAGATTAGTTTCCCCTTTAAAACCCCTGGCTACCCTATCCTCGAGGGGTAATACTTACGCCTGGGACGTAGTACTTGGGAGGTGTCCAAATAGTAGCAATTTTTAGAAATCAGCAGCATCGCCGCAAACCTAATTAAATGGCCGAGTCTCAAGTACCGGTCGACACCACAACGTCTTGGTACGCTCGGAGGTTTTGGCGATTTTCTCCACTTCTCTATTGCTGGAGCGCTGGCCAGAGGGTTCTAGGAGCATACCGAACCCATCTACTACTAAGGTAATCAAGCTGTCTTGAAAAGTCGACTCGATCAATTTCTTTGCTTTAAATTTGGTTTGGTTATCAGTAACTGAGAGGTGCAAGGGCCGACAACGAAACTCGTGAGGGCAGCATACGTAGTGAGCGGAACTTATTCGGTACGTGCCGAAAGTCATCCCAAGTATACTGGTTGTAAAGTCAAATTCACGAATCGGTAGCGGTAAGACATCAAATCGTTATCCTTAATCTCCGAAAACAGATCGACGCATAAGGACGGATGACAATTTACGGAGGGCTTACCGCAGTAGTAAATATTTATAGAAAATAAGGCGATACCGTACGTAAAAACTCGCCTTACTGAGCAGTGCGTAGGCGCAGCCAAACGCAAAGCCCAAGGGGCGATTCCGCACCTCCGTACGCATTGCTCAATAAGTACTCAAAGACAAGACACTACTTGGCCGTGAATGCGCGACTTTGTCGAGATGATACAGTATGCTGCGGAAATTGGCTCTCAAATACGATAAGATGCGATAGATGACCAGTAGTGAAAAGTCGGGGTAAGCTTCTACTGTTGAAGATTGCCCATTACCCGCGAATAGATTGCCACGCTTTGAAACAATTAGCGGGGCGTAGATTTGATTCTTATGTGTAATGGTTTTTTCGGTATAAGAACAGATGTTGTATACCTTAAAGGCAGGTAGGGGGTCATTTAAGCGGTCCTCAGACCCTCTTTTATAAAAGACGGTTATGAGACCCTTTGAAATCAGTACTAGTTATAAATCAAGAATAATTCCCCTTTTTAGTCGTCCCCGAGCTTAGGACCGTCCTATGGCCGTCCTATGGCCGTCCCCGTCCATATTTAAAAACAGGCTTATTAATAAGCTCGCTTGAAAAAATTAAAATAGTTCAATAACTATTTTAAAGAAGATATGGTTATAAATAAAAATCATCTCTCAAATGGAATCGTTTCAATAATAATATAATAAACTCGATGCTAAGATATTTCTCGGTAAATCTATTACGGCTTATAAATCAACGCTTTGAATTTTTTATAATCGGAATCGATCGATTCGGCAAAAGTTCACCCGCGTCCATGCGCTTACGTCGACTCGGACGGGGGTGGTGTACCGTAGAGGCAAGTAGGGGGTCGTTTTGGCGGTCCTCTGACCCTCTTCTACTGTACAATAGACGGTTATGAGACCGCTTAAATCCAGTACTAAGCTTTATTTAAAAACGGCTTAGCTAATAGACCGTCCTATTAAAAGAGACCGTCCTATGGCCGTCCTCGTCCAGATTTTTAAAACAAGCTTATTGATAAGCTCGTTTTAAAAAATTGAAATAGTCCGATAACTACCTTAAAGGGTAGTAGGGGGTCATTTAAATGGTCCTTTGATCCTCTTTTATAAGAGACGGCCATTGGACCACTTGAATCCAGTACTAAGCTTTTTTCAAGAATAGTTTACCGAGACCGTCCTATTGAAAGAGACCGTTTTATGGCCGTCCTATAGCCGTCTTCGTTTATATTCTTAAAACAGGCTTATTAATAAGCTCGTTTTAAAAAATCGAAATAGTTCGATGACTATTTTAAAGAAGATATAGTTTTAAATAAGAATTGTCTCTCAAATGGAATCGTTTTAATAATAATTTAATAAATTCGATGCTAAAATATTTTTCGGTATCGCTGCCACGGCTTATATATCAACGCTTTAATTTTTTTATAATCGGAATCGATCGATTCAGCAAAAATTTAGACACGGAGATGAAGCGTCTCCTTAGACCTGAAGAAGGGGCGGTATGACTGAAGGATGGCAAAGGTAGTAAAGGGTAGACTAGCAAGTAATAGAAAGGTTATTTGCTTACTAATTCACGTTCTCCGTGACGGTTTCAAGTTCAAGGACGGCCATAGGACGGTCTTAAAACGCTCGAAACGGTCCTAAGACGGTTTTTATACGAAAAGACGACTATTTAAAAAAGACGATTTAATCGAATAAAATAGTTCTATTTTAGCTACGATTAAAATAATTCAAATCGTTTGTCTTTAGATTCTATTCAATCTTAAGTATCGGCTTAAGGTGATCTACCAGCCATTCCAACCTATTGAAATCGTCCCTAAAAGAGATAGTTATCAAACGATCAGCTGACCGTCTAAAAGCTCTTGCATTCCCCTTTAAGGTAGTAGACTAGTGAATAATAGTAAAAAAGAGATTATTTACTTACTAATTCACGTTTTCAAGGACGGTTATAAGTTCGGGGACGGCCATGGGACGGCCATGGAACGGTCGTAAGATGGTCTTCTTATTGTTATGATTATATTTATTAACGTCGGGCGGGTATCCAAAACGCAATGCTTGAACCCTAGAGATCTCTTATAAGGTACGGCGACGTGCTAAGTAAAGGAATTATATATAAAGTACTGTTTCATCGAAAGTAAAAGCTACGTTAAGGAAAAGCTTTCGTTAAATAGTTGAACACTTATAGACTCTTTAAAAGCAATTCATAATGCTGTGCGTCGAATTTTCTTTCGACAACTATCGAATACGTATAGCCTTACGGGCGGCCTCGATTCGTATATTGTAAACATCGTTTTCTTTCGTCGTAAAGCTAAAAAGGCTCGCGTTCGTAGCCTTTAATCGTCGGTTTCCTTAAATTTAATTCGAAAGAATTGACCGACTTGCTGTAGCAAGTCGGCACCACCAAGGCGGGACACTCAGCAAGGCGGGACAATAACAGTATATCATTTATTAAACAACAACTATTAATATAAATTTTTTTTTGTATGCTTAAAAAACTTTGCTTTACAAATGTAAATTAAAAATATAAAAACGCATTTATTTGTGATGAAATGATACATTAAAATGTAATGAACATATAGTTAAAAACTGTCTCAAATAATTCGAATTTACTTGTTTATTGCGAATATCTTAACAACTACAACTTCAATTAAAAAAAATTCACATACATCGAAAACAAAGGATGTAATCTATTACATTACTAAAGGTATTAACTATTAAATAAAAATTGGTAGTAATGCACGTATTCTTTTGATAGGTTTGAATAAAAGTCCGATTTTCGTATTCCTCGCTTATTCTAGTATTCACGCGGCAATTCTGATATATACCTTACGCATTAATGAAATCGAAAAGTACATATCAAAAGTATTATTCTTACTACTTTAAACTCAACACAATAAAACAATAATAATTTCTAATTAAAACTTGATTCGTTGATTAACATTAAAATTGATACGGTGCATCTTTTTATACAAAATTATTTACGATATATTAATTGGTTGATTTTCTATTTAGTTGTAAAGAAGCAAATTTTCGGTGCGGGATTTTTTACAAATTAATTCAAGGTAACCGACGATTAGATAAAGCCAGTGTATTTGCAAAATGCTTTTTCGAAAGCGCAATACCGTGTTTTCGATCAGTTGAACTAAGCCTTTCCTATCTTATCTTTTACACTCGATTTTTGTATCGCAAGTCCTCTTGGTCTTTTCAATCGGTATGCCCGTTAGGTATAAATCGTAGTCGGCGTGGTATCCGAGAAGAAAGAAGAGGGAGGTTCGGAACCGGCGGTAGAAGAAGATCTCCTCGAAGAGACGTCGCAGGTCGATGATGATGATTTAATTCCGGCTTTCTAGACTCTTTATCTCTCTCTCTACCGCAGGAGAAAAAGTAAAAGAAAGCTGAAGGTTCGTAAGGGGCACCTCGTACAGGTAAAGAATCGTAGCCCCCTTCTCGGTAATAGTCAGGGCAAGCAAGTGTTCCATTTCAATTATTTCAACTTACATTGGAGATATCTTAGCAACGAATAATTCTATAATATTCAAAACTAAATGCATAGATCGGCGTAATCGAGATCTTTAGAAATCTAACTAAGTATGAAATCTTTTTATTAACAATTTCATAATTAATAAATTAAATAGTATTTAATTATCAATTGAATTTGATTGAAAATCGAATATTTTATATTGAAAATTCTATCTTTTTTGATATTAATCGTATTTTATATTAAAATACAATACAAAATTTTGATATTCAGTAAACCTCTAATTAATTGGACCCATGCAATTTGTTTTTCTTATTATATCTTTTGTAGGTATCATTTTATTCAAGTTGCAAGCAAAATCGAAAAGTTGATGTTCTTGAATTTTCGTTAAATTGTTCGAGCTTTTTGTGACGACACGCCAGGTCTCCTGGGCGTATTCTCACGTGCGCCAAGCTGCTTCCTTCTTTCCCTTCTCATATTCTCTCGTTCCCCTCTTTTCACCCGTGAACCATGGTTCACAAGTCCTTGGCGCTCCCCACCTTCGTGTATATAATCCTCAGCTTCCTTCAACCTCTACACTCGGTATTATATTAGGTTTTCTTTTGGAGTTTGGGCTTTTGCGTTGGACCTTTTCCTTTTCTCTTTCTTGTTCTCGGCTGACTCCGGTCCGGCCTCGACCCTTGTCGCTACGCGACTTGAACAGCTGGCTTCTAGCTAGCTACAGCAGTCTGTACTTGCTTGACTCTCGTTTGTGGTTTTCCCTTGACGAAAGATTTCTTTCTATATGATCCATCCTATCCGTAGGGGAAGGGCGCATGCGACAGTAGCTTACGCTACAGCACTATGAATTGCTTTCTAAGGCCTTCTTGTATGTAACTCCTTAGCTTAGCACGTCGCCGTACCCTATGGGAGGTCCCAGGGCGGCAGGCTTCGCCTGCTACCCGCCCGACGTAAATAAATACAACAACAACAACCTCTACACTCGGTACCTCTACACTCGGTAGTTGTTGATTCTAAGTTATTACTTTGAGATCTTCCTGAGCTCCATGTGATCCCCCACGCTCCCGTGAGTCCTCAGGTAATCGCTTAAGGTCGTCACACTTTTTTCGCTTCTACAATTGTAATTTTTGCGTAATAAGTATTATTTTACTTGTTTTAATACTAGAAATGTATAATATTTTTTGTAAAAAAAATAAGATTCGCTTACCCTGTATTTTATTTTTATTATCATAGCTTTTTTCGTTATTGATTAATTCTTAATACAAATCGCGATTTTCGATTTTTTTTCGGTAAAGAATCAAAAACTTTGGGTTTTTTTACGACTTGCAACTTAAATAACTTAACAATAGAAGGAGCTATACTATTAAAAATTAAATATATTAATCGGCGGAATCGAGCTCTTCAAAGTGTTAGATTTTTAATATCATAGCTTTATTCGTTATTGAGTTATTTCCAATACAAGTTGAAATAATTGAAATGGGACACTTGCTTGCCCTGACTGTTACCGAGAGCCCGCAGGTAAAAAGTCAGCGGCGCACTGACTATTACTGGCCCGCACGAGATAACCACGCGCCCAGATATTGTCCGAGATCATATTGTAGAGATTCCGCAATCTGTTATCCATTTGGATAATGAGATGGATACAAAGACAGAGGTTTGGCGCCCGGAATGCGTTCCATCGTATTCATACTATCGCATTCTATTCGACAGCTGGACGGACGAGGACGACGACTTGGCCTTTGACAGTCGGTAGCTTCCGTGCCTGCCGTGCCTGCCTTGTCTGCCGTGTCTGCCGTACCTGCCGTACCTGCCGTGCCTGCCGTGCCTGCCGTGCCTTCCTCTCCTAGTTGAAGCTCGGCTGATTGATTTTCCGTATCGGTCTTTTATTCTTCCGATACGAATACCGTCATACGTATCCTTCTCCACATGACGGCATTTGTGAAACAAGATTCATCTACAATTTCATCTATTGCTCTCGAAACCCAAGACATAGACCCAGACCCAAGCCCATTTCCCATACGTCTGTTGCTGCAACAACATGTCAAGGTACAGTAGAGAAAGCAAAACGAAAGTAGGGAGGTGGACTACTGGTAAGGTATGACGAGCTTACCATAAAGTCCCTGCCTGCTACCCATTGATACTGACCAATATCATCGTCAACGTCAACGTCAACGTCAACATCAACATCAACATCAGCACCAACATCGCCATCCGCCATTTCGGTTGCGGGGACCTGGGCCCTACCTCACTCCATCTCTAAGCGCTCTCCCGATATCCCAGCGGCGAGCGCCAGCTCGTCCCTAGGATCGATCTACTCTGTACACTTCTCTCTTGCTGGCTCTCACTCAACACTCACTCAAGACGCCCGGACACCCATCCTCATCACGCCCCCCAACATACCACCTCTCGTGCGCTGGGTTCGTCCTCGTCCAACAATCCCTTTCACAAGGGTTCCTGAGTATGCAACCAGCCGGTGCGACACGATCGTGACGGAACCCGCTCAGTACTCGGCGGCGGAGATCTGCACCATCTTCCCTCTTCGTGGCTGTCGGACGGTCGGACGATCGGGCGGTCGTCCACATCGCACTCGGCAGGATGGATACGGCTCTGATCACGTTTATGGCGTGCGTACCTTTGGCCCCCTTTTTTTTACCCTTTTTTTTTCTCTCCCCTTTTTCCCTTTTCCCCCTTTTTTCTTCTCCCTCTTTTCTTCATTTTTTGGCTCTGCGTGCGTGCGTGCGTTGCTTGGTGATGAAAAGTTTTGAATTCCACGCGCAATCACGTTTGTTCCTCGTGGATTTAGGGGATCTTGTGAATCCCATATAAACACGTGACCTGGACCGAAAATTCTAGAAGGATTGTCGAGTCCCTGTCAGTGCTCTATCTGCTGCTGGGCAAGGATTAGCCGCCTTGTCCGTTGGGAAACCAAGCATTTGGTATTCGTGGACCCATGTCACGATGCATCCGGAGTCTGACTTTAAACATCCGTACTTTATTTACTTTATTTTGGGCCGGGGTCAGCCAGTTTCATGTTTACTTCTCTCCATCCTTCCCGTTATCAATCTGACTCACCCCGTCTCTCCCTATTCTCTAATCCCGATTCCCTATTCCCTATTCCCTACGTATTCTCTCCCTCCTCCCTCCTACCCCCTCCCTCCTACCCCCTACCCCCTCCCCCTCTTCCCCGTCTCTCCGTCTTCCCGCCAGCCAATCCGTCGGGGCTTCTTTCCGGATTTACCTGGCTGCTTGTTGCTGTTGGTTTCACGTAGCTAACCCCTATCAACCTGCCACAGCCAAATCCCCCCCCACAGTCGATCCGTCAACCTGATTGGATCGTGGGACAACTTTAGCAAACGCTACCCGATGGAGCGAGACACTAAACGATCCAGCAGCCAATGGCGTGGCTGCTACACTTTTGCTGATATCATCTGCGATGGGGACGATGATGGGCACCCGTCCAATGGGGAGCGCCGGCCGAAACGCAATGGTGGTTTGAAGATGGGGGCCACCTATTATTACTACGTATGTATACCTACCTACTACGTATTGTAGTTGCTAGGTCGATCGCTCTTTCCCTTTTCCGCAAGTGTCCAGGACTAAGAGAGAGACCCAACCACCCAGTACGAGCTGGACGATGGCACCGAGTATCACGACGAGTTGATCCCGTCCACGACTGCCTGTCCATATCTCCCCGGTCAGCCCGTCAACCTTCTCTGTGTGCCCATCGAAGTTCAACCGCTACGGCGTCGAAGCGCATCAATGAGCTCCATGGCCAGCGGCGATATCAAGACCATGAACCCGGCGGATAAGTTCATGACCCCGAGAGCACCTCCGCCACCACCGGTACCACGGCTGAACACCTCATCCGCAGTCCTGACGAAGAGGCGCTCGGCACGTTCGCTATCGCCCAAGCCGGAAAAGTCAGCATGGCCAACACGAATGTTCTTTGGTCGGAGAACCCCAGAAAAATCACCCATATCGCCGGTAGATAGACGTGGCAGGCCGACGTTTACGCGTACGCCACATAGGAGGGCCAACTCGGCCGTATCTTCTCTCACTCGACCAGTACCGGAGGACGCGAGGAAGGTCATGTCGGGGGATGCATCGGCGCAGAATCTTTTGAAGTCATTATCAACATCCCGGGATCCCTCGCCGTTGCGCCAGCTCACTGCCCTCGAGATACCCGACGAGATTGTAGAGGAAGCCGAGGACGACGACAACTTCGCCAGCGAACTCACCCGCCTGTCCTTGCTACATCTCACTCCTCTCGCGCCTCCGCCCGGAGCCCGCTCTCTCACCGTGCCCCCGCCCGGATCCCGCTCTCCCCTCATGCGCCTCCGCGCCACCTTGCGCAATACATCCAAGCCCCTGCCCCAGCTCCCAGAAGAAGAGGATGACGTCTCGTCCCCCTCGTCCCATACTGTTCAGCCTGCCTTACCCAATCCCAAGCTCCCACGATCGCGCTTCTCGGCTTCGACTTTCGCGTCTGAAGTTACCTCGCCGACAGATAGTCATTTCAGCTTCAGCTCCGCCTACTCCACGACTTCGGACATTGATGCTGATGATGACATGGGTAGCGGTGACGAGTTCACGTACAGTCCTACCTGCAAGGTGCAATCCATAGGCTTCGGGTTCGGCGGCTACAGTCTCCCAGAATCGGACTACGGCTCTGAGCAGACTCTGTGCAAGCAACCCCCGCTAGGCCAGGCCAACAACCGCGCGACCTTCGGAGCGGGCATGACACATTTCGCAGGCGCGGGTGCGAGTGCGCAGGCCGAGCCGGTGAGCTCGCACCGGCTTTTGATGAACGAGATGGGATACCTAGGGGATGTGATTGAGGGGAAGGAGGTGTAGGAGAGGAGGGGGCCGGGCTTCTGTCAGTCTTTCTATCTAATTACCTCCATGAGACCTTGTCTGGCACACAGGTATCTGGTTTTCACGATGAGGGTGATAAGAGGGGGATAAAAGTGGAGAATGCAGCGCACTCTTTGCACAAAGTTGTTGATCGACTCGTTCTCCTCTTCTATTTTCTTCTGTTCATTCGTGTTTTCCTCGATCTTCTTCACTTTTCTCTCTTTGACCCTAATTTTACACCCCCTTTCTTACTTATGTGGTTGGGCCTGGGCTACTTGCTACCTGCGGTGATTTTTACTTGCTTCTTTGCTTACTTGCTTGCTCGAAAGAAAGCGGGTGTCGTTCTAGGAAGGGTGTGATTCTTCTGGATGGTTAAATTGAGATTACGATTATGGGTGTTACTCCCCTCCTCCCCCCCCTACAGTTTGGCATCTAGCGTCGGAGTTCTCATTCCCCCGTGTTTCCTTCTTTTCTTTACCCCATCATTTTCAATATGGCTTTGAGGGGGCTAGCCGGGGTGGGCATCTTGAGGGTGGGACTGTTTGTTTGATGTCACGTCATGTGATGAGCTTCGCGCATGCCTATATGAGAAAGGGGTGTGGTACCTAGATGTGTATACGGATGGAGTTGGGTGGATGGGTGTATGGCAGATGAGACTAGATGGCATAGAATGAAGGGGTGGGATGAGATCAGATGAGACGAGATGAAATAAGATGGGACGGGATAGCGTAAAGGATAAGGTTGAAGGGAAAGGGGGAGGTGGAAGGGAAGGAGATGGAAATACACCGCTTTATGAACAAAGTGCACATTCTCTCTTGTTTTCGGGTGGTTTTTTTTGGCGGGGGGGGCGGGGATAAAGGTTGTGGAGAGGAGAGGAGGGGAGTTGTTTCAGCTGTATTAGAAGTATGTGAATGAAAGAGATGGAAAGAAAAAGGTGTGTGGGGGGGGGGGGAGGTTTGAGGGCAGTGGGAACTTTGTGAGACACCGAATGAAACGAGACATAAAACGAAGCACCGGATAAAACCGAAACCGCCGTGAAAAGAGAAAGGGAAACAAGGAAGGAAAATCTTGAATGGGGATATCACGTATGGGTAAGAGAAGATCGGCTCTCCCGCCAGGTAACGCCAACCCGGCTATCCATCCACCGGCAATCAAACCGCCAGGCCGCAAGGGAAAAATCAACGGACGGAGCAGGGTCCGAGGAGAAGCTACAGCTACTTGGTAGATGGGTATACATACTACTAGATCCTGGGGGGGGGGGGCAGATGGCAGCGAGCGAGATGGATACTGTTGATGATGTGAGTGAGGGAGGGGGGGACCTCCGTAGAGGATGTAGGAAAGAATGTAGAAAAGAAAGAAGAAGAAGAAAGAAGAAGGGAAACGTAATCGTAATTGCAAATGTAGATGTAAACGTAAACGTACTGCAGATACGAGGGATCGGTGGATGAGTGAACGAGGATTTCTTGGAGAGAGGTGGGGGGGGGGGGTAAGGGGATTGGAGGTAGAGAGAGAGGGAGGGGTCGGAGAGAGAAGGAGGGAGAGACAGAAAAGGAAGGAAGGAAACATAAAAAAAGAAATGAATACGTATAACCACTTACTTGACCTACTTCACTGACTGTACCCATTATGAGCCCCCGCCCTCCTGCTCCTCCTCCTCCTCCATTTTTCCTTCCCTTGCCGAAAAAAAAAAAAAATAAAAATTAAGCGAGACAAATAACGCGAACCCAAGCGAACGACACCAAGCGAACGACACCAAGCGAACGACACCAAGCGAACGACACCCAAGCGGCGAACGAAA